TCCTACGGAGATTGGGATGAGACATTGTTACTGGGACCGATTGGTGGAGGATTTGTTGCCCACGCTATTTCCGCAAAGAGAAAAGGCAGTGCTTTTTGGCTCTGGCTCAAACAAAGGTACCCAACATGGCGCATGGGTAAACGGAGACAAGACTAAAACCTGCGTAACCCCAGCTGTTTATTTCTTTGCCACACCCATTTGGCAAAGTCAACCTGGCCTCCGGCTCGACAAGGAGCCTTCATAACAACTTGGTTCCCTCAGAGTATTTCTGCCTCGGCGATGATCTCTCCAAGAGAGGGGCCCTCGGGCCCTCCCAACCCTCCAATGGAGAGATCCGACCCAGCCCTTAAGGCTTCCAGGAGCCCACAGAAACAATCATGACCCCGTGATTTCCCGCGGCAAGTCACGCTGCGACTTCACCCTCCTTCAGATAAACGTGAAACCTTCGAACACCTAGCATCTTTGGAGCAATCTTCTTTTGGGGGATCCGTGTTTTGGGGTGGACCCCCGACGCCACAGACCTATGCCCCGCGAAGGAAATAGCCCAGTAGCGCATGATGTCACATTCCACTGTTTAACGTTGGAAATGGGCGGCTCATCTTTTTGAGGTACCCCTTTTGGAGTGATTTTAAAGGGAAGACAGAAGGAAGCTAGCCATTTTTGGTGTCCCCTGTTTTAAGACACAAATGCTTCCCCGATGGACGAGGACATGGGACCCGACCCATGAGACGGCCTGGAACTGGCTGTGGGACATTTGCGATGCGCGGCCCGGCAAGTGCGGCCTCGGGCGTCCTAATTTTGATGTGGCCTTGAATTTGTGTGGGGCATAACCTCTCCAAAGTGGTTGGACATGAATTGGGACCCACCGAATTGTCCCCTGAAGGGTCCCCTTTTTAATAGCTCACACCCATGTAAAGTCGTCATGACAGGCCGCCGAAGAGTTTGTGTGGGCGGGGGCGAAGAGCTCTGCGTTTGTTGGACTATTGGGCGGTTAACTATCCCAATAGAAGCAGAAAAGGCCCCGCCCTGAAGCAACCGACACAGCATAATGACCGACAAAAGTGGAATCAAAATTCCCAAAAGAAATCCATCAAGTTGCCTGAAGTCATGAAGGAACACAGACCAAAACTAGGGCTCGTAGGCAGCTGGTGACTTGTCCACACACACACACGAACCTTGAGCTGCTTCCCAGACCAGGAAGTGTGGCACCTTGGAACTTGTCTATACCTAACAACGCCAACGTGTTCTCAGAACATGTTTCCTGAAAAGTCTTGTTTTGCCAGCCGAGAGGATAATGTGGCAAAGGCCACTTCTAGAATTGACAATTGGGGGGTGCTGAAGCAACCTACACTATACAATCAGTCCGAGCAAGCCAGCATGGCAGTGCAAAGCGACCATCGAGAGTTTTGCACTAATGATTGCAGCTCTGTGGCTACTCTCTTAGAAAGCGCCAAATGGTGGATTTTGCCAAGCGAGCTTGCTGGAGAGCAAGACGCGCAGGAGCATGCCAGAGTTGTCGAATGGCATGTGCTTGAGATTTGACAAGTTGGCGCTAGACGCGACAATTGCACAAACAAAGCCACAGAACACTGGCTTAAATGTAGGTATCTATTCACATCGGCAAGGAGACAAGGTGGGCCCGCCGCTGAACAAATAGGTTTTGTCAATTCTGCATTCTGAGGGAGATCGAGAGGATGTTGAAAGGTCGAGAGGATGTTGAAACGGCGGTTTCAACATTTCAGTTTGGCCTTTGTTGCCAAGTTGTCCATGGCTCTGAGCTTTCTGTCAAGCCCCTTTTCATGGCCAAGCGGTGTTTCTTGCAGCGACATGCCTGCGTGTTCGGAAGAGATATTTTGCTGCCTGAAGTTGCACCTTCCACAAACGTTGTGAAACTGCACAAATCAAGGCGGCTGCTTTTGTTCATACCTGTTGTATTGCTACGTGATTCCATTCACCCAAAAAGTAGGAGACCAAGGGAACCACTTTTGAATCCTTAGGAAACTCGCTGGTTCCGATGGCGAAATCCCTTGATCCGTGGGATCTTCCGCCCTTTCCATGGCGTGAGGAACCTGCGGCAGATCCTCTACAAGCCCCGGGTGTGGCAGCCGGCCCTTTTGAACCTCATGTCCAGGCGTGGCATCGCAGAGATCGGTTCGGACTTGGGACCCGCTGTTTTCTTCTTTTTGTTGTGTTGCTTTCCTCATGCCAGCGGAGTTCTCAAGCCCAAGCCATAGGATGGGTATGTTTTGGGGTTGAGGAACCACCTCGGTTGGTGCGTTCCCCACTTCTCCAGTTCTTCGCACATCAAGCTTCTCCCTTTTTGGTCCACTCTTGGGAAAGGTCCCAAAAGGTGAACCTGTCATTTCTGGGTCCTTTGGGCCACCGAGCAAGAATTCCAACCATCGGACTGGTTGAGCTGATGGACTCAGCCGGGAATAAGACATTCGCCAATGCTGCGGTCTGTTCTTGCACAATTGAAAGAATCCCGTGTCTAAGAAGATGTATGTTGTGGCGCACGGTTTGCGTAATAATCAAAGCCAAGCTTTTACATAAATTTCTTGCGCGTGGCTATGACCTTGGCCTCCGCAAGAGTCATAATCTTATGTTGCGGCCTGCTGCGACTCAACCACACAAGTGACGTTGCAGGCAAACCATGCCATCATACCATCCATTGGACAGCGGCACACTACGACGCATTGATTTTGCATTCATGGCATGTCTGTCTCTCTTGGCATTATCCCCAACAGAATGGTTTCTGAAGAGTAGTCTCATTATGCAACCCAGAGCCGCCGCAGGTTTACAGACGAGGAGAAGGAGGCCATGAGGGACGAGGTCTATGTACGTTTCTTTCAGGCGAGGGGCCGAAGATTGTTGTTCATTTGCTCCAATCCGGGTGCGGATGGATGTCAATGCCGTTTGCCAAAGGATATGCAAGTGTGTAATTGGCATCCGTACAACAAAAATGGCTAATGCCAGCAGGCCCTGGTCCTGTAAAGGTTGTTCGTGCTGTTCCTCAAAGAGTAATGCGTTGAACAGGCTGCAAGGGTTGGAATGTCCACGTAGCAACGTCACGTGGTCGGTTTGATATATTCATGCATCCACGGACTTGATCTTGCCGGCGGCACCCTTTGTTCCTTCTGTTTGGAGGGGTGGTTTTCCTTCAGGTTACTTCAAAAGAACCGAACCCCAGCTCAAAACCAAAGCACACACTCGCATTTTGCCACATGTCCACTTGCCAAGAGAATGACACTCCTCAGGTAAAATGTGCCACTCACTCCTCCCGCATCTCCGCCGCGCGCGTCGCGCGCGTCGCGCGCGCGCGTAGCTATGATTACTGAGGCAGCGCCCCAGGGCCAGGATTACTTCAAGCAGTCCAACACACGGCTGCACTTCATCGCCACTCGGGCCATGGATATGACCTCGGAGCTGCTGGCGGACCCCTGGGAGAGCCTCGGCCTCTTTTTTTTGAAGCCAAAGGGAAGCAGGGAGTGCGGCTTTGCTGGGACTCACTGCTTGAGTTCGTGGACTTCAGACTTTTGGCGTTTGGGCCATAGAGGTATGCAGAGAGTTTCAGGATTTTGTTTGGCCAATCTCGACGGGATGCCAGGGGAGTAGAAAAAGGGCTCCCCCCATGGAAGCTTTCCCGGCTACAGATCCAAGGTCCTATTGGCCCTGTGGATTCCACATCCATTTGTTTTTGGCAAAATCGGGAAACTCAATCGACCCTCAAACAAAACGCGGGTGGCTCGTCTCTTTTGGAGTTGGTACCTTGTTTTCATGGCAAACCAACAGGAAATCCACAACTTTGGGGGGTCCCCGATGAAAACACACCCATGCACGGTTCAGAATGACTGCAACGGAGTCATTGGTTCTGAGATATTTTTAGTGAAAAATGAATCATAGGCCGAGTAGCATGAGGGGCGAAACAATGACAGGCTCTCTTCTATGATCATGGCGTCAATTGGGCTTGCAGTACCCACCCCCACAAACTATTTTGATGATTAAAGCCATGCCCTCCCCCCCACACACAAACCCATTTTGATATTGAAAGCCCTTGCAGTAAAACGCTGAATACTCCGGATACAGGCCGCTACTGGGGGGAGAAGCGTTTGCTGGGAAATTGGCGGAAGACTGATAGTCCCACCACTCATTGACTCGATGGCCTTCTGTTTCTTTTGGGATCGATTGAGAATCGAAATTCGCACGGCTCGAATGCCCCACCCCATGTTCAATTCGCCAGCACAACACAAAACAGAGTCAAGTTTTATTTGACGCATCCGTTCACTGGTTCAAGTCTTTTTGGCAAAGCCCAAGTATGGAGCCTTGGCTGCATCCCTCCATCCCTCCATCGTGCATTCATCATCTTCCTTCATCCTCCATCATCCATTCATCACCCGGCATTTGCCCATCCATCCCTCCCACCCACCCACCCACCCACCCACCCCGCCCCCCCCCCCACCCACCCCCCGCCCCCACCCACCCCCCCCACCCCACCCGACCCCACCCCACCCCACCCCACCCCACCCCACCCCACCCCACCCCACCCCACCCCACCCCACCCCACCCCACCCCACCCCACCCCACCCCACCCCACCCCACCCCACCCCACCCCACCCCACCCCACCCCACCCCACCCCACCCCACCCCACCCCACCCCACCCCACCCCACCCCACCCCACCCCACCCCACCCCACCCCACCCCACCCCACCCCACCCCACCCCACCCCACCCCACCCCACCCCACCCCACCCCACCCCACCCCACCCCACCCCACCCCACCCCACCCCACCCCACCCCACCCCACCCCACCCCACCCCACCCCACCCCACCCCACCCCACCCCACCCCACCCCACCCCACCCCACCCCAACCACCTTCGCGAGGATGACTGAGCAGATCTCTGCCTTGGGCTTGCGCCACGTGGGTTACGGCATCCCCACCTTCCTGATCGACCCCTTCGCCAACTGCTTCGTGGAGGTCCTCAGCGAAAATGCTCCTGGGGAGGACTCGCGGACTCATTTGGGCCCGGTTCAGCCATCCAAAGCCCGGAAAAAAGGACAAACATTGGGTTTTCATTAGAACAGTCGCTTGTTTTGGGGAGCTCCCTCCTTTTTCTCCAAGTTGTTGATGTAGCAGGTGGGGCTTAGATTTGAGGGTTTGACACTTGCACGGCAAAGGTTTGTTCGCGATTTTACTCAAATTGATCAAGCGATATTCAGCTATTCCCTGAGGCTCCATGTTGGCCATGTGACCACGTGAGTCTTCTATATCCGCAACTCTTAGGCATGCAACGCAGGCCCCGGTTCCATGTTCCAAATCAGCCGACTTCTCGTATTGACCTCTCGCTTTGGCGCCCCCCCCCCCCAAAAAAAAAAGACAAAAACAACAAAAAAACGCGTGAGACGCGAGGACTTGGCCATCGAGGCGTTCCAGTGGTCGATCGGAGTCGTGGCCAAGATTCTGATCCGCGTCATCCAAGAAGGCTCCACCATCGTCATGAAGGCCTCCGATCGATTTCGCCGTCCCGACTTCGAGTGATCGGTTTGTGGTTGGCCCAGGCTTTCCTGGGCTTGTTGAAGCCCCTTCTGCTGGTTTCCGCTAAAAAGATTGCGTTCTGGTAACTTCACTTCCTGAGTTCCCGAACTTCAGTCCCTTTTTGGTTTTGGACCACTTTAGTCGCAAACCACAAGCATGGCGACGATCTTTTTTGGCCCTTCCACTCCATGGAAATGAGTGTTAACACACAACCCCCCCCCTGGTGGGTAGGGTGCGACTCCATGGCGCTTCCACCGGAGGCCATCAACGCCAACAGCGCGCTGCAGCTCCGGAAAGCGGTGGCCTTGGCGCCGCGTAGCGAGCGCGCCCAGTGGCTGCTCAGGATTCAGGCGCCGGAGGGACGCAGGGACGCAGGGACGCAGGGCTTGGGCGGTTTTCCCCCGAGGGGGTGGGGGGTGGGGTGGGGTTGACGGCTTTTTCGGGTTCAGTTTATGTGGTCCTGCTGAAGTGGTTGTCGGTTCTTTTTTTTTGTGTGTGTTGGTCAGAGGCTAGGTGTGTTTGGCGGATGTTTGTTTACAAAATGGGGGGTAGGTATTGTTGGCTGTTATCTTGTGATGTTGTGTTTTGCTTCGGGAGCAGGGGGTGGTGAAGGTGTATGTTGTGTTTGCTGGGGCGGGAGTTGTTCTTTTGTGTGAACTTGGTTGTTGTTGTTGTTGTTGTTGTTGGTGGGATTGGTTTGTAGCGTTTTGGTTGGCGTGGTGGGGCTTTTTGTTGGGCGGGTGGGCTAGGGTAATGGTTCAAGGACGCATGCAAGGATAGCTTTTTGTGTAGGCGGCTGTGTTTGGTTCTAGCAGCGTACAGATGTCTTAAAGTCTCTCTTGCTGGGAGGGTTGAGAGGGAAACAGAGGCAATGGAAGCATGACTCGGGTTCCTTATTCCAGGCAACATCTATTAGACATCTTATTTACAAAATGGACTGACAAGCCTCTGGTGAATGAGTCAGGTGACGTGTCTGGTTTTGAGGATATCTCATTCGGGTCTTGGGTGCCTCTTTTAAAGTGCAGGCCTGCAGGAATGGTTGGTTTCTATTTGGTTTCTATTTTTTGACCCACGGCTGTGGGTCAAAACCAATGGTACCACCCATTTTAGTCTATTTTAGTGGTACGATATTTTGACCCATAGCCACATAGAATCAACGCTGTCCCCACTTTCACTTTGGACCACATTTGTCCACAGTTGTGGGCCACGACTGCACTCCGTTGTGGCGAGCTCGCCTGGTGAAAGGTTGTCCAACAATAGGAGTCCTTTCTTGTGGGGATGCCTAATTTTATTGACCAGCCAGCGGAAATTCGGCAACTCGGCCAAACACCAACCAACACCAGGAGCTGGTTTTCTGTAGATGTATAGTCGTTGGCCCGTGTTTGCTGCCAACGTGGTCATTCGGATCCATTATGCTTTCATGTCCATCCTTCCAGGACTAGGTAACGATTGGTGCAGATGGGTCTTAGGCAAACAATGCCCCACCTGCTAGCAATGTTAGCGGATTTTATCCCCCCAGAAATGGTTTCATCTGTTGGGTTTGTCTCCCAGAAATGATCAGATTTCAGGCCCAAACTGATTGCAGTTCTTGGGTACACCCATGAATGGGCGGTTTTAGGCTCCCAGTTGAGCGCACAAAACCTTGCCAGCACCCCGGGCAGGCAAGCCGTACGTGCCAAAGTAGGGAGTTGAACCAACAGCTTAGAAAACACATCCCAAATATTTGTTTCCCGTGGTTTCCCTTCACCCGCCCCCCCCCCCCAACTGGGCAACCACCAAAAAGCACAGCCCCCAATTCTAACGAACTTCATTCACTAGTCAACAGTTGTAGTCAAGGCTTAGGAATCTTGGATTCATTTGGATTTGGAATCTCCAGTACATTGGTGTCAGTCCTTGTCAATGCGCTCAGGTTGGCACTCAGAAGATCTCCCCTTTGTCCTGGGCCATTCAGAGCGGGTCCCTGGAGGCGGCCAGAGCCATGATCCAGGACGCAGTGTTTTTTTTGTCACGGAGTCCGCTGTGTTTGTTTTTTTTGTTGTTAATTTATTCGCCATAGTTGCATTTGTATGTATTTGTTGTTTGCTTTTGGTTGTGCTTTCTTACTTTCGCTGTCTGTAGTTTAGATTGTTTTGTTTTTCCAAGCGCGGTTTGAGTGGGAGCTGGGCAACCTGGAACGAAACGAGCGAATTGACTTAGGAAGGTCCTTTCCTGGGGAGTTCAATTGATTCCAGTTTGGGACTTGTAGTGAGTTGCCCAGATTGGATGGCAAGGGCGAAATGCTCGGTTGAACCAGTTATATAAGTGGTTGACAGTGCTTGCTGTAAGTGGGTAATGGCCCTCTTGGGGCAAGCTCAACGCACCGTCTTTGACCTTCAGCGATAAATCCAGAAAGGATAAGTCGTGCAAACAAACCAAGAGTTTCTCACACACAGGCGCTTACCCGCCCCACAAACCCGCATATATAGTGGTGTATGCCATGCACGGATTGCCTCAACCGTCCCCCTCCCTACTGGCGTGTGCCGGCCCCCCCGCCGTCCGCCCCCAGCAAGCTTTGAGCACCCATGCCAATCGCAATACAGCCAGAGTTGCACAGATGTCCCAGAGCATCCCGCATAGAATGTGTAAGCCAGGATAAGCCAACGCCGGGCCTCGTAAAACATCTGTTGGGTATCTTAACGAAGGGAAGCCCCAAAACGGCTTGTGTCGTGAGGGCTTCCCTTCAAACCCGCCCCAAAAAGGGTAACGAGCCTCAAGAAAGAGACAGGCCTCTGGATTTTTGGAATTTTCGGAGGCGCTTAGCCCCCAGGACCTTTTAAAGATTTTTCCTTTGATTCGGGGCGTCGAATTGAATCGGGGCGTCGTTTCGAGGCAGTAACCGGGGTTTATTTCAAAGGCATTTCACAGGTGTAAGGACTGGTTCAAACTTCCAAAAACATGGACTGTTGGAGGGGGTAGTTTGGCACTCGCCCCAAGCCACACGCGGCCACCTTCACGTACCCGTTTTAAACCCTGGGAGTACCCATTTTAAACCTTAAGGGTACCTGAGTCAAACCCGGGTCTGTTGCGGGTACTCCGCCCGACGCCCGCTGCGCTACGGGGGCATCCATCGCGGTCCGGCCAGGGCCTCGGCTGGTGCTTTCCACGAGTCTCTCCATCGGAAGATTTTTTAACTTTTCAAGCCCATTGAAGGGCTAACCTTCAGAAAAAAAAACACTGAGAAGGGAAACTCGCGTTCACAACTTACGGAACTTGTGTGTTTAAAACATACGCTTCTAAACCTCACGTTTTGGCAGAACATGAGCTACCAGTAAAAAGGTTCGTACTAGGGCTACGCGTTGGAGTTGACTTGGGTGAAAGACACGAGAAACGAAGGTGGCCATGCTAGTAAGAAACATAAGTACAAGGCTTACAAAGAAGAAGCCACCGTTACCTGTAAAACAAGGACTGGGCTGGGTTAATGTTATACCTGGGGGGGGGGGGGCAAATCTAGCTTTGACGGCCCAAACTGTGTTTTTTTTGGGGTTGGGACTCCCAAATCAAACTTTGGTGGCCCAAATGGGTTTCGGGCCACTATTTAAGGTGTCCGGTTGATCTTGCAGAGGCTACCCCCAAAAAGGACTCCCAAATCCGGTTTTGGTGGCTCACACACGGTTTCCAACGCATTTGTCATGTCCCGTTCAAATTTCAGAGGGTACCCGCAAAGGACTCGGGCGGCCCAAACTGGTTTTGGGACACTATTTAAGCATCCACTGTTTTGGGGCTCATTTTTTCAGAGGGCACCCACCAAGGACACCCGAACTTTGCTTTGGCAGCCGAAGCTGGTTTTGGCACACTGGTTTTGGCACACTTTTGAAGTACCCCAAATCCAGTTTTGACGGCTCAAACTTGTTTGCGGTCTTTTTAAAGAATCCCCCTTTGTTTCGGCTCAGATTTTGGCAGCCCTAAACGAGTTCTGGTGCATTTGCTGCCCTGGCTTTGCAAAAGGGATCGGCCACCAAGCACCGCAGGGCATGAAAACCTGCACCCTCAAAGTTACCCCCAAAGTTGTGGCTTAAAGGGAAACCAGCCAAACAGTAATTTTGAGAGGCTATTTTCAGGGACTCAGGGAAGATGGCAGTAGTTGCAGCAGGCGCTGCATAGTATGCACCCTTTTGGCTGAAGTCGCCCCCAAGTGATTTGGGTGCCGCATGAAGCAGCTCAACAGCACAAGGGGGAATCAGGAGACACATCTGCAACCAATAGAATTGGGGGGATGCATCCTTCTCCGGCAAGCATGGATCGCACCCGAATCGATGAGCTATCAAGCGATGGCGGGCCTTCAGATTCGTCTCGGGAAGAACAAAAGAGCGCAGCGGACAAGGGCATCTTCAGCCCAGCAGCGCTGAAGCAGAGACTACGGGTGCCCTGCTCTTGTGTGAAACCACATGGCCAGGGTCACCGCGCCACATCGCATCATGAGTATTTTCGCCAGGAGGGATTCGTCAAATATTTGGAATTCTTGGCGGCGTGGAGAGAGCTTCACAAACTAGACCAAGACCGCCTTGCTGCTCACCAAACAAGCTTAGAATCGTTTGTCTTTGGGCTCCCCTTTAGGTCCACGTTACTTCCCAGCTGCCCCACCTTGCATCGTAAATAGCTACACTTTTGGAAAGCGCTAGCCGAACTTGGCCTCAAGTTTTGGCCCCAACAGGAACTAACACATGACACATGCTTTTAGCTTTGCTGAGTTGTTTGATCGGCTACGCGACCTAGCTGTGTCTCAACAAGTTCTCCAGCCGCTTCACCACGCTCCTGTGCTTCAGTCAGCGACACCCACGCGCAGGCGACCCCTCACCTACTATTTCCTGGGCCAGAAAGTGTGCAGGGATGCTTGGCTCCGACTGCACTTCATTGGGAAATCCCGATTTCAAGTGGTCTTGAAAGCTGTGTTGGAAGGCAAGCTGTCCGCTCCAATGGATGCCCGCTACATACGCCGCGCGAAGAACACCACCGTGTCCCCGACTTGGGGCGAGGTTCACTCCTACCTGTTGCAGCTGTACCAGTCCGTTGCGGAAACCCTTCCCGATGACGCCCGCTCCGACTCGGACGGGGAGGTGTGCGCCGGCGACGACGAGGACGCCCAGACACCGCTCTTGCAACTTGAGACGCCGTCTGGTCAGCTTCTTGAGACGGCCCGGGTGCTACAGGAGAAGGGGGACAAGCCTCAGTGCTGGGAGGAGCGGTTTCTGCCTCCAGGCAGCATGTTCGACCAGTACAAACAGATGCTGGCGACCGAGCCCCACTTGTCATGCAGCTTCAAAACGTTTTGGAAAATATGGTGTCAGGACTTTCCTACGTTGAAGTTTCGCAAGGGGTTCCGGCACGCTGTCTGCTCGGTGTGCACAAAGCACAAGATGTTGATCAAGGAGCTCGCGCACGACTGCCGCTCTAGACAAAAGCAAAGACTTTTATATGACCGGCACCTACAATCGCAGTATGAGGACCGCAAAGTCTACTGGTCGATCAGGGCCGACAGCCGTCTCCACAAGCGCCCCATCATCCTCATCGCCGACTCCATAGACCAGTCGAAATTTTGCTGGCCGCGCCACACTGTTGCATTTCAGTCCCACCAGTTCGACGCCGTCATCCGTCCCAGACTGCACATCTGCGGCCTGATCATGCATGGCTGGCTGGACATTCTCACCATAAGCCACGCCGACGTTCACTCTGGAGGCTCTTTCACGATTGAGCTCGTCTCTCACGCCCTTACCTTGCTACAGAAATCTGGGGTAAGTTTGACCTCCCGCGAGCTTTACCTACAGTTTGACAACGCGGCATCTAGCAATAAGAACCAAACCGTGATGTCTTACCTAAGCATGCTGCCGCAGGTGAACGCAGTGCAGAACACAACTGCACTTTTCTTGAGGTCTGGTCATAGTCACGAGGACATTGACCAGCAGCACGGGCAACTCAGCTGGAATAGCAATCGATTCAAAAGGCTGCTCTCTTTTCAATAAAGCGTTCATCTAGCAGTCGCTCATCCTCAAAACTGCTTCACGCCCCACAGACTTCTAGCAGTTTCTGCTCCGGTAGCCAGAGGGTGCTTATGTTTATCCTTGATGCTCAACTTTGTTGAGAAGGTAGCGTTAGCAATGCTGAGTGCCAGTTTCCCAAGCCAAATCCAAATCCTCAACAAAAGCCAGTGACTTCAATGTTCTGGTTGACTCAACTTAGAAACAATACACCGGCAAGAGACCTCAAGCAGTGTTGGGGGAGGGATGAAAATAGAAAACCAAATGATATCTTAAACGTACAACAGGTGAGGTCACATGTCAAATGGAAGGAGATTGCGAGAGCAACGGTTTCTGTAAATTCCTGGACAAGATCTCCGTGGAAGGATCTTTGCAGGATTTGTGGAAGGGTCTCTTGGTAGGATCTCTTGGCAAGATCTGCACGCAGGATCTCCGAGAAAACCCTCTACAAGCTCTCTCTTCCAGCGCAAGATCTGTTGGGTGGATCTCTAGGCAGGACCAGCGCAAGGTATCTGTAGAGGATCTTTTCAAAATCTCTGCATAGGATCTCTGGGTAGAAAAAACCCTATACAAGTGTTCTGTTCAAGATCTGTAGAAAGCATCCTCCACAAGATCTCGCAGGGGCAGATCCCGCACAAGACCTCGACCGTTTTAATATTTTTGTGGGAGGATCGCAGCATCCCTGCGCAAGGGTTAGGTAGGATCTCTTGGTGAAATCTCTTGGTAGGATCTCACAGGCAGGGCCCCTTAGAGGACCCTCAGCGAGTAGGGAGCGCGCCCTCTACAAGACCTCTTGACAGGAACTCTTTGCAAGTCCTGCGCAAGACCTGTTGGGAGGATCTCTGAAAGGACCAGCTCGAAGTACCTTTGGCTTTTACAGTGTCGATGCGCAAGATCTCTTGAAGGATCTCGGCCAACCACGTTGCGTGAGCCTGCGCGGTCGAAACGCACTTCA